ATCTAAGTACAAAGCTACAGCTGCCTAAATAATCAATTTCACCAAAAAATCTTGCCTTTGAAGCAATAAATAAGAGCCAGTTTTTAGGAAATAATGCCTCTTATCTCGGTAACGGAAAAGACCTGAGTGAGGTAGAGATCAGAGTTCAACATGAAGTCAAAATTCAGAGTCCAGCCCAGTCCATGGACTAAGGAAATCTAGTTCAGTCCATTCCGGGTTCATGAAAATAGATTTCTCAGACCATGGATTCTGAAACAGTACTCCACTCCAGTTCACAATATAAAACTCATGCAACAATTTCGACTCTAAAAAACGCGTTTACGGACGGCGTTTATAAACGCAATCCAAACGCGTTCAAAAGCTTAAAAATGAAACATTTGCACCATTCAAAGGCCTTTTGTTTCGCTTCTATACCAACGCGTTCGAACGCGTTTACGTGATAAGCAGCGTTCAAACGCGTTTTGTTCATTAAACGCTTAAAAACGGCCTAGAAATGAAACATTTGAAGCGTTCAAAGGCGTTTATCAAAACTTCCGAAAAAAACAAAAAAAAAGAATATTATGTGTCACTATCGATATGGCTGTCTATATAATTCATTTCCTTCAAGATACCCCTATCCTTGTCCCTAGACGTAGCAGAACAATTATTACTTACGAAACCACGAAGTGGTTCCCGCGTCAAACTTACCAAACTGATCTAATAATCAATAATTGATAATCGAGCGAAGTTATCATTTTCGAACCAGCTTCTTTACCTAAACACTTAACAATAAGAAGCTATTATTTTGATTAATCCAAGTTAAACAATTTAATTAACTCTAATGTTGGCGCCAGTTTGAACATAGACGTGCTTTCTATTGCTTATATAAACTAGTGCTATTTTACATTGTTTCAACTCATAGAGCCACGCTGAGTTCAATTTTCATATTTGCAGCACCAAAATTATTTTGGTTGTTTCCCGCTAGCCGTCAAAAATAGCCGTCAATTGACGGCTAGTAGGAATTTTGAAAAAGGCTAGCCGTCAGATCAAAAACTATGTAAAAACGACAAAATGGTTGCCGAAATAAAGCGATTTTCGAAATAAAAGAGCAATTAAGCTGTTTTAAGCCATAAAACTATGGGAATTAAAAGGATTAAATTGATTTTGACCTAGAAACGCTACTAAAACAGATATATCTATCAAACTTGTGATTGGTTCGTTTATATTATATGTGATATTTTATGGATCATAACTGTTGATGATTTTTTGGACCGCAAGAAAGGCAGAGAATTCTTTTTTCTGCTATCTTGTCTTCATCTGTATCATTTCAAACATTCAATTCGTGCAACGGAGTAAAGAGTGGTGAAACTCAAAAACGCTTCTGAAGTGTAGAAAAATTGGGAATTTGTTTCGTCAGCCATTCTGAGTATCAAAAGGCAGTGTTCTTTCTTAGAGAATCCATTAATCTCAGCAGTTTTCTGATGTAGAAGGCTCAATTAAACATGTTAATTGTGTGAAAATCTCAGAATAAAGATCTACATAAGTGAGAAATGCATGAAAAGGTTGATGTCTAACTGAGCGTAAATGATTTTCCTTAATTGCATCATGTTCCCGAAGGCAAAACCGGGTAAAACATCATGCGATTAAGCCAATAACTTGATTACCGCAGTTCTTCAAAAGTGTAAAGGAATGAGAACTTTAAAGACGTTAACTAAAAAGTCTCAATAAAACGATAAAAGTTCATTTCGGACAGAGTGCCCAAATCTCCTGATTTCGCCAGAAGACTCCTTATTTGTAGACTTTTCTCCTCATGAAAAATCTCTGATTTCAGGAGCTGATTTTGAAGATTTTCTCCTGATTTTCAATTGTTTTTCTGCATCAGTTTCGTTTTTTCTGAAACGATGAAAGATTATCACTTTCAAAAACAGAATTTCTGGGCCAAGAATCTAAATAATTGTACATTGAAAGAGTCCGCTGTATGTTTATCGAATGTTCTCATCACAAGAAGATGAGATTAGTGAACTTCCAACTTCATTGGATCAAAATCTTCTTCCTCAATGTGTACTGCAGTCTGTAAGAAATGATAATACTGTTCCATCAAAAAATATTTCAAAAAAAATTTGTTTTTGAAAAAGCCATTGGATTTTTTTGTTTTGCCTGTCCAAGAAAAAACTGCCCGATACTCATGTTTCTCTTCCAATTTCGAAAAAAATTTCTGGATTTTCCTTCGGATTTTTTAGAAAAAATCTTCTGATTTTTAACGAAAAGCTCTTGATTTCGATAGTACCAACAATCGGTTTGGACGTCGAAATAATATCAGTTGAAGATATTGCTCTGGAAGCCATGGACTTTGGTGAACGCTCTGCAACTCGTGTTGCTGTACAGAAGCGTTACTATCGTGATACATACGGACTCATCTTTGTTGTTGATTCAACTGATGGAGAAAGGATTGATGAAGCACGTGTTACACTTTATCAGTTGTTAAATGAGGAAGAACTTCGAAATAAACCTATACTCATTTTTGCGAATAAACAAGATTTATCCAATTCAATGTCATTTGATGAACTACGACACAAACTCAGTTTAACTAAGCTCGAAACCACCTGACGAGACCCTTGAGAAAGGTCGAAACCGGTCATGGTATCTTCTTTTGATTCTTTCAGAAATGAATTCTGTCTGAGTCACTAGTAACTACAAAGCGGTTGTAAAATTAACTAAACATAATGAGATTAGACGTAGTTATGATACAAAATGCCGATTTCAATATTTTCAAAGGAAATTTTTGGTATAAAAAATTCATTGGTATCTGTGTAAATAGCCTTATTCTCTTAAATTATAACTCCACGGTGCTGCCTTATAAACATCTTTTCACAGCGAATTAGCTTTCTTCTTGAGCTTTTTATTCTATAGTCTTATTTATTAGTCAGAAGTAATGATTTAAACAAACAATTAGAAATGTTTCATTGTCGGATAAAATACGACTTTCTCTTGTATCACTTTGAATATACCTAAAATTATGATGAAGCTCTTCCTGTTCCTCTTATAGCTAAAGTAAATAGCATATTGGCCGTCAAGCGGTGACTTATGATCAGCATTCTGATACGCATTACATGTAGAATGACTTGAACCTCTTTTGTCCTTCACTTTAGGACAGATTGCAAGAGAAGCGTTGTAACGGGCAGAGTCTGTTATGATTCATGGATTATAACCACTCGAAATAACAAAAGATTATATAAACGAAACCTTAAAAATTTGACATCTTTGTATAAACTCAACTGACTCTTAAACGATTTTATAAATTGGTGTGCACAATGAATACTGCGACTGCTCATTTCTTATGTAAACGTTAAAACTTCTGTTACTTTTTTTTTAACAAAAGCTTTAATAATAAACTAGCGGGGACATACTATATATGTCGAACAAACTAGAATTCTATTCTGCACACCTCTGCAGTTAAGAAATGGAATTGAACGACCAAAAGTATTTTCCTTCTGGGATACTCATGTCATTTCACCGTGGTAATGACATCAGAAATGTATAATAAGTAATTAATGTTTGTGAAAAAGAGAAAAGAAGGAAGAAATTTCTTTCTAAGTCGTCATTCACATATTATGGGTTAGCAAATAATCTCTTTAACAACATTCTTCTATAATGAGCGTTCTAAGCTAAGATACCTAATTTGAACTACAGAGTGAATGTTTCCTATGTCTTTGTTATGAGCAAACACTTCATGTGCTCTTCTTACTCGCCTTCTACATAGACAATTCTTTCGCCTTGAAATGTGTCGATAGACTATGTGAATGATGCTGAGTGGATCAGTTAGGAAAAATACTGAATGATGGTAGCGACAACTGGATCATCGATTGTTACACAACTCGACTCTGCAACATCACAATTGAATCGTTTTATACCCATTCCTCTACTCGTACTTGGTACAATTGGAAATATTTTCAATGCGATTATATTCAGTCGACGATCGTTAAAGAGACTTCCTTGTTCAATTTATTTTCTATCTTCAACCATTTGTAATTTTTTAGCCCTATATTCTGGTCTCATAACACCCTATTTAAATCTATACGATCTTGATCCAACATCCTATTCCACTGGCGTGTGTAAAATTCGATTTTACATCCGGTATACCTCCATCACACTATCTTCATGGTTTATACTGTTAGCATGCATTGATCGCTATGTATCAAGTTCCCACAATGCAAGAATTCGTGGCTATAGTCGCTTGACACTCGCCTATCGTGTAACGATCATTACGATCCTAATTGGGATCAGTGTACCATTCACTCAAACGTTTTATTGCTATGAAATAATCAATAAATCGTGCACCACTCGGAACACTGGATGTAAATTAGCCAACGATATTATTCTGTTGTCTTCTCTCAGTTTTATTCCACCAATGGCTATGGTTTTGTTTACATTATTAACCATTCGTAATGTAAAAAGAATGAATATGAGCACAAAACGCCGTCATATTCAGTTGGTTAGAATGTTGTTCGCACAAGTCATGGTGATGGTTATTCTCTATTCATTACCAGTTACGGCACAAAAATTGTACTCCGATTCCACGGCCTATCTCACTGGAAAGCCATCTATTCGTGTAGCAATTGAAAATCTGGCACAACAAATATCAACAAATATATCCTACATTAACAACAGTGTTGGCTTTTATATTTACATCTTGACAGGAACACTATTTCGAAAAGAATGGATGCGAGTATTGGTATGCCAGAAATCAAATGCCATTTCATCAATTCATACAAAACATCAATCAATTAACACAAATACGATTGGTAAACGGTGAAGAACATCTTTCCGGTGTTATATACAATTCATTATTGTTACCAGTACATAACCCTTCCTATCTAGTCTATTAAAAGTGCGCTAATCGTGCGTTAAACCAACAGTTTCGAAATCATAGAGAGTGTTGCTCAAACTTAGCAAAGGGAACTTCTAAGTCTAACCTATTCCTAGTGGGCGTTATCCGTTTCAAGATTTTCTTTAGAATTACGGTTAACATCTATGTGTGAAACGCTTAACACAGTGCAAACGGTCTAGCGCGTACAATATTTATTAATCGGCTCCTTCAAAATGGGAAAAATCATGCACCTCTCTTGTTCTTCATTAAAAACAAAAAGCTTGAATGGCTGCATAATGTTTGCTAAAGAACAAAACTGTCCATAATCATGCTTGCGCAGATGACGGACTCGTTCACGAAGAGATTTTTCTATCAAGTATTTATCAATTCCCTTTCCGGCCATAAATTCTATTAAATGTCGTTGGAACATTTGAATTATTCACCTAGTTCTTTTTCCTTTACTTTTAATTAAAGAGTCTCATGAGCATCTTAGCTCGTCTTCTATTCCTCAGGAGATTGTTACTGTAACAAGATAGTCGTCCTATCGAAAATTAATTTCTTGAGGTAATAGTGGCATTCTTGTGCTCATCTATAGAAATGATAGATCCAAAATGCAAAGTACCAGCGAATCAAGTTATTTTGAAGGCATATGAAAGGATTGGTCATCTAAGGAATATAAAAGTCACATTTTATAGCACGTACATATAAAAACAGGGAGGACTATTCAACAGGCAGACCACTTCCAGTCATGTCCACCGTAGATCGGTCTACGAATTTCTGAAAATTACTTTGTTTAGTAAATGGGCACATTTCGACATTTTTGAACATCGTCATTACGCAAATTAAAAGGAGAATTGCATATTTTCTATTTCTACGTTTTTCTTTTTCTGTAAAAGTATTTTGCAATTGGTTTTTCTCCATCGTTTATAAGGGAATGCTTTCTTTCTACATTAGAGCACCAGTATTTGGGCCCAGTGATTACTATCTGAAGGCAAATTTTAAGAATCATCGTCGTAAAATGACAAGAAACAAGCATTCTGTAAGAAATTAAGCAAGAAATTCGATCCGTGATGTGAACCAAAGAACAACGTTCTTTTCATCCTTATAACCGTGAAGAAAGAAAGAGAATAGAGAAAATAAAAGAGTATCTCCAAAACCTTTATTCACTCCCGTTAATTATTTGCTTTCTTCCAGAACCATAATGTCATTTTTCTTTATGACGGCTGTTTCTAAGTCTTATGTGTAAATTCGCATGAATTATGTAAGTTTTCTGAAACTCCTTGCATATGTTCAGCAGAGAAGGAGTTGAAGTTTTATACTCAAAAGCCCTAAGATTTGGCCAGTTTTTTAGCCTCTTTTTTAACTTAATCCAACATATTAGTTGCTATATTTATCTTAGAGTTTGTTTACACTCGTTTGATTTTATTTTGACTACTACTTGTTTACACACAGGAAAATCTAAAAGAATATTTTCCCTGCTTCACCACACTAACGAGGGAAGGTTTTTAAGTGCCCCCTCGCTTTTGCAACGAAACCTCGTCGGTTATAGGTTATCGATGATGCTGATTCCAAATATGGATACGAGAGCTGCTCTTAGGGCTTCGAAGATCCGGCTTTCTGAAAAACAACTAAAACTTTTCTTAATGAACCATGCTTGTAGCCCGCACATGTCTGATTAAAATGAGACCTCTCTCAACTCTATATGGCCTTTCTTTGCAAAGTTATAGAATTAACACCAAAAGCCCTAAATTAATTTCTTCTTATTTCTTTTTTTTCTTATTAGTTTTTTGATTAAAAGAAGTGTTTGTTTGTCTTTAAAATTGATAATTATTTCAATAGATCTACAAAGCACAATAAATTCAAGGCAAACAGCTCAAAAACCTTTCTAAGCACAGCCAGAAGACCGAATCTGAAAAGTACATACATGATCTTGCTAGAAAATTTTTCTTAAATATCCAGTACAAATAAATGTTGAATGGAAATATAAAAACAAGTAGGTTTTATAGAAAATAGCTCAAAATCCCCTAAAAACCCTTTAAAATAAGTTTTACAGGTATGGAAATACTCAATAGTACTTGATTGACATTAGTCCTCTAAAATACTTCAATAAATATT